GCCACCTCCTGTTGCTCAGCAGGGACTGGATGACATGGGGGGGGCTTGCTCATCTCCTGAGCACTAGCACCCTGGCCTAACCACATGGCACAAACTACCCACCCCAGCCTCTCCCTGCTGCCTGGAGTGCCCTGCTCCGCCTCCAGCCTGCGAGATCTACTCCTGAGTGCCATCTGCTGAGGTGGGGACTGGGTAAGCCCACCTGGGACTGTTCAGGCCTCAACGTGGAACCAGGCTGGTGACAGTGAGTGCGTGGAGACAGTGAGGGGAAAGGGCCAGTGCAGCTGAGGCAGGAGGCTGCTGCCCTGATGAGGTGGGGTCCCTGTAGGGGAGGGGAAGAGGCGACCTTGGAAGGCTCCGTCCAGATCCAGCATCAGCTGTGCTCAGGACAGAGGTCAGCAGATCCCTCTGCCCACTATGCTCAAGGGGCATCCTGAACCTCGGAGGCAGCCTTAGGTGTGTCCTTAACTCTGCCTTGGTAGCACAGAGGGGGACTCTGAGGCCTTTTCTGGGTTGACAGTGCCACCCCAGGCATCAGAGGCCCAGGATGGGACTCCGGAGAGCATGGGTAGGCCAAAGTCCATCCCTCAGTGCTTTGATGCAGACTATTGTTTCTGGGCCTTGCAAGAACTACATAGTAAATATTGTCATCTCCACCCACACATGGGGACCTATACCTTATCAGGGCTGCAGTCCTGGCCTCAGCAACCTCCCTGTCTCAGCTGCCCTGGTCCCTTCTTAACCCTGCACTCTCACACACACTGTCGCCAGCTCTTTCCATCCCCATCAGGAAACAGATTCCCAAAGCAATGAGACTTGGCCTTGTTCACGCATCCAGATGTTTGTTCAGCTCATATTTGTTCCACTACACTGTGATTAAGACTGTCCTTCAAGGACTCACTGGAGACTGTCCTTCAAAGACTCGCTGAACCTGGGCCGGTGGGGTGCCATCAGGCAGTGTGAATTCCAAGGGCTGTTCCCATGCAGCCTTCTGTCCTCTACTCCTATGTCCTGTCTCTCTGGTAGAGCCCTGACCTACTGCAGGCAGGGATCCAGTGTTGCAAAGCCAGCCCAGCATAGGGCTTCCCTGAGGAAGGTCCAAAGACTGGGGCTTTCAATTCTTCTGCTCTGCTGCCTCACTGGGAGCGGCCCTGGGCTCCTCTGCCAAACCCCAGCTCTCTGGCCTGCTCCAGCTCACTCATCAGCCTGGAGTCCCACAACCCCAGGGCGCATGCTGGATCCTCCCCTGCTCAACCTGGGCAGTCACCAGGGGTCCTTCCCTGGGATGGTCCCCACCTAGCTGAATGCCCTACTAACTCTGTCTTGAAGTTCTAAACAATCGTGGAAAAAGGGGGCCTTCATTGATATTTTGCATTGGGTCCCCCAAATCAGTTAACTAGTCTTGCCTGGACAAGTTACTTCTCTGAGCCTCAGGTCCCCACCTGCAAAAGTGCCCCATGGGTGAGGCCTGCTGAGGTGAGTGGCTGACAAGTGCTTTGTCAGGTGCTCAGGGGTAGGCAGGGCAAGGTTTGCTGTCATCATTGCTCCAGAAGGAGCAGGAAGATCTTTAAGGGGAGCCCTGGCAGCTCTCTTCTAAAGTCGGGGTATAGGAGAGATGGGGCTCACAGAGTCTGAAAGGAAATTCTTCCTTCAGACCCTGGGAGAACTCTCTGAGGCTTAGCTTTGCCCTCTTCTCCTTTGCCCCACTTGCCCGCAGTTCTGGTGACTGGAGGCAAACCTGCAGTGGGGTGTGGCCTCATGAGGCCGTCCTGCAGAACCCTTTTTACCCTCTGGCCCAAGCTCACTCTTAGCCTCTGGGAGGGACAGGAGCTGTGATGTGACCCTGAGAAGGAGGTGGAAGGTCCAGAGACCCAGAGAGATGTCCTGCTGCCATATCCAGCTCACATTTGGGTAGCCTGCAGTTAGATGCCCACTGTAGGAAGGACAGAGCTGTTTTCTGAAGCTCTTAGAGACAGTGGTGATCCAGCACCAGGTTTTGGCAGCCTCTGGTCTTGGGGGACAGAAAGGTAAGGCAGCTTTCCAAAGCCCTCAGAAATGGAAGCTTGGCAGTACCCCAGACTAATGGCCACTGAAGGCAAGGGATCCCCTCAGCAGCACCCAGGAGCCTCTAAGGGAAACCTCCAAGGACAAGATGCTTGGCACCTCCCAGACCAACCTTCCCTAACTGCAGATTTCAGTCCCCCACAAAGGACCTGGGTGGGCTTCAGTCTTGCTCTTTATACATATTGCCTTTGGTAGCAGAACCTCCGTCACCTCAGAACAGCACTGCTAAGGTGGGCGAGGCAGGAACTGCCCCACGCCACCATGTTGTAGCAGAGGCACTAGAGGCCCCAGCACAGGACAACCTGCTCATGGTCCTAGGAAGGCAGAGTGGAGGACAGGCCAGCTGCCAGACTGCTCCCTGCACTCACCTCCCCGCCCAGCACAGGTCTGGTTCAGAAAAGCCCTGGGGAGCATTGAAAGTGAGGCCATGAGCTAGGGGAGGAGCCTGGGAAGCTGTGGAATCTCAGAGGACTGTGGTGGCCTGGTCCCAAATGGCAACAGCAAGAGCAGGGGCTGGATTCCAGAGATGTTAAGGAAACAGCAAGAGTGGGCCCAGGGGTGCCAGCAGGTGAGGGAGTGTTCTGAACAGGGTGGAGCAGGGGCTGCAGGAGGAAGGGGGAGTTGAATGCAGTGGGCAGCAGGTCTAGGCACAGCTGCCTGGGTCCCTGGAGCTGAGGGTGGCTGGAGACAGATTGAAGGCCTGCTGGTGGGTCACTGCCCTCCTGGCACTGTAGAGTGGGACCAAGCTGATACCTCCAGTGCTGTCGCTCACTCTGCACAACCTTGGCCCCACTCCTGGTGGGGGAAGCATTGGGCCCAGGAGCTCTGAAGGCCAGGGCAGGAGACAAGAGGCAGAGTAGGGCCTGGCATGCAGTGACCACCATGATGGGGCACTGGCAGCAAGAGGGATCTGCACCCAAGAGTGGCCCACCAGCCCCCAGATGCTGGGGTACTCAGAGACTCTCACTCAAAGCCTAAAATGTATGCACCAGCCCCTGGCTGGGGCTACTCAGAGAAACTGAAATCACCCAGTGGGGGAGAGAGCCCTGCAATGGGGTCCAGAGAAGTGGTGGACATCCATGCTGGCCCAGCCCCCTCCCAGCCTCAGACTGCCCAGTGGGCAGGTCCCCAAGACCCTCTTGGGTCTGAAGGGTCGAGTTACAAGTGCCACCAAGGGGAAGAACATACCAGCTGTCAGGTATGTCCATTTCCCAAGAACATAATCACCAGGGCCCCACCCACTTCCACCAGCACAGAGAGACTAGGCCTGGCCCAGCCCTCAGTGCCTGCTGCTGACCCCTAATGCCCCCTACCTCAGAGCCTTAACTACCTACACCTGCAAAACGGGCAGGTTCTCAGCCCCCCCTCCATCAAGGGGCCATCACACTTGGAAGGCTGAAAGGGCTCTTCGGGGACACTGGCTCTGCTGTGGGCTGGGAGGCAGGATTTCCTGGTCTGGCTTTAAGCCCAGGAGAGGAAACGCATAATGAGCAGCCACTGCCTGGTGCCTTCAAGACTTGATCTTCACCTCAGCCCTGGGAAGGAGGCTTCCCCAGGTGTGGGCCAGCTGTGGCCCCAAAGGAGTGTCCCCATAGATGGTCCCGTGAGAAGACGAGAGGGCCAGAGCAGGCCTGGTGCCAGTCAGAACTGGCCGTTGGGACCCAGGCCCCGGGCTGCCCCAGGGCAAGGAAGAGCTGCAGCCTTCTCTGTGTGGCTCTGCAGAGGTGCTCCTGGCAGAGGTGCCCTGGGAGCCGGACCTAAAGGCTGAGCAGGGAGGAGGTGTGCAGCCAGGGCCAACGCACGGCAAAGACCCCAGGGAGGTGGGGGGGGGGGTGTTCACAGAAGCTGCCAGGGCCACCAGGGCACTGAGACAGACCAGAAAGAGCTCAGGGCCAAGGAGACACCTTTCAGCAAACTACAGCCAGCCCCGTGATGTCGGTGGGAAGTCACTAACCCCAAGGCAGGAGGGCAGCTCTCATGCTGGTAGCCCCAGCAGCAGGATGCCTACCCTGGAGGCCCTGCAGAATCACATGCTCACCCTCAAGGTGAAGGTCAAAGGACGGGCACCACAAATCTAATTAGCAGCAGGGACTGCTGGCAACCGTACATTCATTCTCAAACTTGTCCCAGAGGAACACACAGCCACTTGCAGAACCAAGGAAGGCAGGCCCCCAGGTGAAGCAAGCTGAGGCAGGCCCCCAGGTGAAGCAAGCTCAGGCTGTGCCCTCCAAGCCCTGTACCACAAGATACGAAACCAGGTGGCAAGGACTGAGGTCTGGGAGAACAGCCCCCTGTGGTGCACTATGGCCTTTCTACAGCCAGTGAGGACCACTCACTGCAAGCTCTGGTAACCCTGTTGTACCCCAGCCACTCCAGTCTCTGAACTTTTCAGACGTGAAAAAAAGCACTAGACAGACTTCAAGTGGACAAAACCCAGACACCTTTGGTGCACTCTGATGAGAACAGTGGTGGGTCAAGCCTCACTAGGCCCGGGCCCCACAGCCAGGGCTGTAGCCATTCCCCACTGGGGTGAATTTGGCTGCCTCCAGCCACCACCTGCTGGACTTGGAGTCTAAGAGCAGGTGGGACAAAGGTTCARGAACCTGGCCGTGGGCAGTTAAGTACCAGCCAGGCCAATCTCAGACCCCAGATCATGGTCTTCAGCTGTCAGCAGTAACCTCTACCCAGTACTGCTCTCTGTCAGGTTTGATGAGCCTCACAGCGACCCCATGGGAATGGATCCCATTCTCCCATTTTATAGATGAGGAGCCTGAGGCTTAGAGAGGCAGCACAGGTTCCTTAGAGTCCCTTAGCAGGAGTATCAGCCAGAACTTGAACCCAGCTCTCCTATCTCACAGGAGATCTCCCCATGGCTGGGGAAAACTGGTAGCTTTTGCCCAAGGAGACTGAGCATCTCTGTGTCTTTCCCTCCCCAGAGACATGTGCAGTCAATAACGGAGGCTGTGACCGGACATGCAAGGACACAGCCACTGGCGTGCGGTGCAGCTGCCCGGTTGGATTCACACTGCAGCCAGACGGGAAGACATGCAAAGGTCAGCACAGGGAGTATGCTGGTGTGTCCCCACCTGGCCTCTGAGCCCCATGTGGCCACAGAATAGGGGCACTCGGCAGTCACTCACCTTGCTGTTTGGGAAGGTCAGGAGAAGGGAGGGTCCCAGCAGGGGCCAGAGAACACAGGTGTATGGCACTTCCATAGATTCCTGGATCAGAAGTGCCTTTACTCTGGAACTCCCTGGGGGCAGAGGTGCTGGCCCAGATGCTGACCTGTAGTGGGGGTGGTTCTCAGAACAGATGGGGACAGCCCAGCTCTGGGCTGTTTGGGAAGTGTGTGTGTCATTATGTGTCACTGTAGGAAATTTGTAAGGGGATTTGTGTGAGTTCTGTGCTTCACTGAAGGAAGAAGGATGCAGAGGAACTTTGTCATAGAAAAGGAACAGGTAGCTGAAGATGGAGGAAAGGGCCGGGGGGCGCAGTGAGGGAAGGGGAGCTGCAGCTTCTACGGAGAGAGGCTGGGCTCCAGGACCAGCCTGTGTGGGGACCAGCCTCCCACAGCAGGGCCAGGCCAGGCAAAGGCCGGGGGGCCATTACAAAAGCCCAGGCCTGACTGGCAAAGCCGCACACAGAAGGGGGCAGCAGCCGGACCGCCCTCAGGCGCCTACCCCAGCCCTGACCAAGGAGGGCCTCGAAGGGAGCAGGATCTGGAGAGTGTGGCCAGCGAATGTTTAAGACAATTTAAAACTGACTGAGGTGGGCTATTTTTGAGTCTGACAAAGTAGCTTCTTCCTTCCTTGCCCCCTTGCTAGGAAGAGCTGCTAATTGTGACAGCAGAGGCAGATCTGCCAGCTGTTGATGTGAAGTGAAGCCCTCTGTAGCCGCCGCTTGGCCTGTCAGTAGCCCTGATGTGTTCCTGGCAGGGTTGTGGGCAGACAGGTGACATCTGAGTCCTCGCCATGTGGACTCAATGCCAGGAGTGAGTGGCAAGGGAGCCAGAGGTCCGCGCAGATCTGGGCGTCCTCGAGGCCCAGTAATGTCACCTGTCCAGAGATCCAGGGCCTGGAGAGGCAGAACCAGTCCTCACTGCCTCGCCGGGAGGTGGAGGCTGAACTGGGAAAGGGGGCCCTGCAGGGCTGAAGTCCTGAGAGCAAGGCTGCTGGAAGGAGAGCTGGAGCCAGCTCACCACTGGGGACCAGAAAGGGCCTGGGAGTCCTGTGGCCCCAGAGGGAGCAGCCGGGAGAGGCACTCCTGCTGCTGCTCCCCACCCCTCTCTGGGGTAGCCCAAGGGGGCTGGTGACATCTCCAGCTGTGAGTCCTGGGCAGACCCCAGTCAGTACTGGGTGGGCTTTTATTTTGAAATGGTCCCTGCCACCACCTGGCCAGCAATCTCTGGGCAGCATCTGGAAAAGCAGGGAGGAAACTGCTGCCATCCCCTGGCTCAGGACAACATTTTTGCTTGGGCCGGATGGTGGCAGAGATGGGAAACTGGGTTGAGACTTCCCCACTGATACTAGGAATGGAGGGGCACGGGCTGGCACAGACCTGTAGAGCGAGAACAGCTCAACTCAAGGAGGGAAGCCTGAGAAACCAGATGCCGCTCCAGACCCCAGGGTTGGTGACCTTGGGTTCTCAGGCTCTTGCTGGAGAGATGCAGGCAGGGCTGGGGACTTGGCTGGGGCAAGCCCAGCAGGGGATTCCCAGTGAACCCAAGACCTTGGCCTCTGGGGTTTTGGGTTTCACTCCTCAATTCAGGGTGCACACCCTGATCTTGGCTCGGGTCCAGGGAAGAATATCAAAGGAGTGATTTCAAAGTTTCAGTGTTTTCTGGAAGCAAAAAAGTCATTGTCAAGCAAGATAGATCACTGGAGCGGAGATAACAGAGGGCACGGAAAATCCAGAGCTGAGAGCCCAGGCAGGCGGGGTTCACCAGGGCTGGTGGGGATCCCCAGGGTAGGCGGCAGGGGTGGGAAAGTGGGATGCAGGTTTTAGAGGATCAAGAGGACTTGCCCCCAAGCCCAGGCTTTATTTCAAGGGGGTGGCCTGGGCTGGGTTCAGTCTCAGTTTGGAGCTGGGTCCCCCTGTGCTGTTGGGGGGGCGGCCTCCTGATGCTGGACTCTCCCCAGAGGATAGAGTTCTGAGCTGCAGCCGCTTTCCCTCAGGGAGACCCCTCCTCCACACACCTTCAAGAACAATCTAGGAGAATCCCCACCCACTGCTGCTTCCCTGTGCCCTGGGCCAGACAGGCCACCTGCTGGGACTTTTATCTGTGTGGGAGCAGAGGTGCCCTCACCTGCCCTCCACCTGGCCAGCCCACATCCTAACTCTCTCTCTGCCCCTCCCAAAAGCCCTTGTTCATGGGCCCCACAGTGTGCCAGGATGGCAGAAGGGAACAGAAATAGCCATCCTGTGCATTCCGGTGGCACAGCCCTCATCTGGCAGGCACCCCCACACCACACACCTGTGCTCCACCGTTGGGTGGTACAGTCAAGTGGCTACTTGATGGGCCAAGGTCCCACCCTTCCCGGACCCTCAGGCCCTTTTCTGTTTCTGGATCACCCTGTCTCACCTCCTGGCTCATCTGTTCATTCAGTCGCTCACTCTGGGCGCGGGGTGCCAGACAGGAATAGGTACCCACCTCTGTGGTCTAGTCCCAAGGCTGTCTCCTGCCCCCGGGCAAGCCCTGTGACTAGGGAGAAATGGACTCTGGAGGGAAGGACAGGAAGGCTGGCCAGAGGAAGATGGAGAGGCTCTGCAGAGGGCCAGCAGGTGAGAGCCAGCTGCATTGGTGCAGCGGGTGGCCGGAACCTGGGCTGCGCAGCAGAGGCCAAGCCTGCCCAAAAAAGGAGCTGCGGCGGGCAGGCCAGGCTGCAGAACGAAGGCTGTGACCACCGCCAAGGGCTGGCCTTTACCCAGGAGACCCAGAGGCCCCCACAGACTTGTCAGCAGGTAGGGGTATGGCCAGATTTGCTGTGGAAGGTGGAGGGTGTGTGGACACAGTAGAGGATGGGAAGGGGACAGAGGACCTGAAGTGCCTCCCCAGTGTTGGTTCATCAGAGGTCAAGGGACCTGGGAGCCCAGCACCCCCCTTACTAGATCCTGGTAGAGAGGAGGGGCACCCCCACATCCCTCCAGGCAGCCAGCTACTCCAGCCTGGGCCCAAGCACACATGCCTCCCTCTGCCTGTCTGGTTGCTGTGACACACCCTGGCTGGACAGATTTGGATGGGGAAGCGGAAGGGGTCAGAAGTCTCAGGAGGCCTGAGGCATTCTTGAGGAGGCAGGGGTCCTGATAATGACCACAGGACAGCCCCTGTCTACTTAGCGGAGTTGGCTTACTTAATTCCACTAATGGCGCTAGGGGAGGTGCTGGTGGACATCCTAGTTTGTAGATGGGGAACCTGAGGCTCAGAGAGGTGTCTTTCCCTGCCCAAGGTCACACAGCTGGCAAGGCAAAGACAGGCCTCTGCTTTCCTGCCTGAGGCTTTATGCTAGAAACTCCCAGTTTTCCTGGAACCTGAGGTGGAGACACCTCAGCTCAGGCCACAGCTCATTTCATGTCTCTCTGGTGGCCACAGGGCCGGCATGGTGTGCTAGAGAAAGCCATCCTTGAGACAGACGGTGCTGGTGAGAGGTCAGCTCTCACCTGTAGCCCTGTGACCACATTCTATGAAAACAGAGCTCTGCTCCTCCCACTTGTCGTGGGGCTGGAGGGAGATGCTGCAGGAAGAGCTTGGTTCAGGCACCTCCCCAGGCTCCCAGGGTGACCCCAGGGAGGGCTAAAGAGGGCTGTCCTCTGATATGCAGGAGCAGTGTCCAGAGCTGCTGGGAGCACTCCATGGGAATAATGCCTGGGGACGTGGGCAGGCGCCTGTCGCCTGTCTGGTTGAAGGAAGAAKCAGGAAGGTGGTTGCTGAGGCTCGGCTGGGGTGGGAGCTGCTATGGGAGGAGCGAGGCTCCTGTCCCCCATCTGTCAAAGGAGGCAGGCTCACCCTGTCACTGGGTGCCCAGTACACAGGACAGGGCATCCGGCACCAGCTCAGCACCCACGCTCAGGTTGGGCTCCACAGGTGCTGGGCCCCTGCCTGGCAGTTGTGCCAGGGCATGCCTGACGACCATAGGGGAGGTCATCCATTTCCTGGCTTCCCTTTTACTCCTCCACACCAGCGGGGAGTGGGACACCTGGACAGGGAGGTCGGCGTGGGGGCTGGAGACCATGGGGGCCCTGAAGGAACTTTGAAGTAGCCAGAACATAGCTCCTGGAGAAAAGAGTAAGAGCCCATTCCCCTCGCCTTGTTCCTCCCCCTTATCCCTGCAGATATCAATGAGTGCCTGGTCAACCATGGAGGCTGTGACCACTTTTGCCGTGACACTGTGGGCAGCTTCGAGTGTGGCTGCCGCAAGGGCTACAAGCTGCTGACGGACGAGCGGACATGCCAAGGTGAGCCCATGCCAAGCCTGGGCAACCCCTCCCCATCGGGTCCCAGCAGATCAATGTCCCTTCCCTCCTGGGCTCATGCAGGCTCCTAGGCAAGAAGGTGAGCGCGTGGATGTCCACTCTGCCAGCTGGGCCTGAGAGAATGGGCGTAGGTCTCCAGACCTTGGCATGTGCTTCTGTCCACCCTGACTTCCTGTTCTTTGTTTCTCGGGGCATCCAGACCAACCAGTCCCCTTTATAGATGAGAAACTGAGGACTGGGGAAAGATCCAGCAGCCCTCCCCTGCCCTTCCTCAGTATGGGGACGGCTTTGGCTTTAGAGGTGGGTGCTGCCACCTGCTGGAAGGCATTGCACAGGCACTGTCCCACAGTCACCTGCTAGGGAGAATGATGGACGGCAGGAGAGGGCTGGGCAGAAGCCCATGACCCCAGTTTATGACAAGTCCAGCCGCCATCCAGGATGAAGTGGGAGCCCAGAGGGTGGGCAGTGGACAGGGGTGGTTCAGGGAAGGCTTCCTGGGGAGGGGCCTTTGGTAAAGTGCTAGGAGGAGTGGCATTATCACCTACCCAGGAGATGGCACTGTTGGACCACAGGAGCTTGGTGGGGTGTCCTGTGGGACCAGCTTTGGGAGAAAGCGCAGAGGGAGGTCTGCTCTTGGGTTGTGCACTGGTTGTTTTGGCCGTTTAGTGCACGTGAGGACTCTGTCACCAGGTTCGGTTTGGGGGTCTGCAGCTTCTGCCTTATGGGTGCAGCTTGAGGGCCAGCCTGACCTCAAGCTCCCCATGTGGCCAGTGCAGTCACTTCTTCTCCTAGGCTCTGCCTCGCTGTCCCTGAATGGGCACCAGAGGCCCATCTTCCTCTCAGGGCATGAGGGCCAGTCAGGAGCATGGCTTTCATCCAGGCCCCATCGGTCCTCCTCTGTGCTTTCTTTGTTTCTGGGTCAGCTTTGCCAAGTTCAGTAGAGGGCTGGGGGGCCCTTGACCTTGCATGCCCAGCTGCCCCTGAGAGAGGAGGGGAGATGGCACATCTTCTTCTGGGCTCTGGGCTAAGTTCCTGTGCTCACTTGCTCCCCACTCTGCCTGTGTCTCCACCCTCTTTCAGGTCACCTGAGGTCTGGGGCCCTGGACCCCCCAAATACAGCAGAGAGGGGTCCAGTCCCCTGTGGTGCTCAGGGCTCTCAGGACAGGAACCCCGGGCATCTCCCCAGTCCTCCCTTGACCTTACACAACCTGCAGGCACCCTGTACTGCCACCTCAGCCTCTGCCTGGAGCACCCTTCCTCCATTCCAAGTTGGCCCCATCCTTCAAGGTCAGGGGCCACAAATACCAGGAGCTCTTCYCACATCCCCTGGGAAGGATCGCATCCCCCTTTGAGGGTCCACAGCTCAGTTCCTCCTTGCATTAGTGCGCTCATGAATGTGCATACATCATGAATATGATGTGCATACATCACGTGAGCAGAGGGACTCAGAGAACAAGCTCAATCACTGTGCTCCCAGAGGCTCAGGCTGATATTGCCGTGCCCGCCAAGGCCCATCAGCTGCCCCCTAGGAGCCATTTTCCTCAGAATTTATGTCTAGGGTAGACTCACCTCCTGGGAGCATCTGGCTCATTTCATCCCTTCCAGTAGCAAGCAGTTGGTGATGCTCCCTTTTCCTCAGCCACCAGGAAGCTCATGATCAAATGTCACATATGATCAGAGTCTTTTTTTTAGTCTTGTGGGTAGCGCATTCCCCTACTTATTTGTGCTATTTTCCTTATTTTCTCAAGAAACTTCTTGGGTCACTTTGGTCAGCAACCAAGAGGCCTGGGTTTATGTCCCATTCAGCTTCTTCCTTGGGGATCTTAGGCAAGGCCCAATCATTTTCCTTCCTGCAGGTGAGATTAAACACTTCTCCTAATCACAGTTGAAACTGAGATGTTAAAATGGCAGAGTCAGAATCTCTTCTATTCAAATAGCTCTGCCGCTCATCTCTGGGAAAGACGCAAGGTGGCTTCTAACCCATAAGCAGGGTTAATGGCGGCTCAGTGGAACGTCAAGCAGCAATGAGAGTCTGACATTTGCTGAGGGCTGGCTCTGCACTGAGCCTCAGCACCCAGGGACTGTCCTCACACAGATGCGTGTCATGTGGCTATTTGTGACAGGCCATGCCCACCCACCATGTGCTGAAACACTCCCCCATATTGTCTCCTTGTGGCCACACAGACATCGACGAGTGCTCCTTCGAGCGGACCTGCGACCACATCTGCATCAACTCCCCGGGCAGCTTCCAGTGCCTGTGCCACCACGGCTACACACTCTATGGGACAACCCACTGCGGAGGTCTGCAGCCCACCTGCCAGGGCCACCTGCCCTTTGAGGCATGCACCTGACTGCACAGCTACCTGCACTGCACCCCACACCATGACCTTGACACTGCTGGGAAAGGGCTTAGCCACAGGCAGATCAGGGGAAGCCAGAGGAACAGAGAGGCAGGAAGGCCAGTGGGAACCTGCTGGGTGCCACACTGGTGCCAGCTTAAAGGCAAAAGCCTAGAAACTGCACCTACTGGAGAACCCCAGTCCAGCAGGGGGTGGACCACACAGAAACTCCCACAGTGTGTTCTAGTGGGAGAGAGGCAATGACAGAGAAGAGCAGTGTCAAGACCATGGGGACCCCAAAGGAGAAATGTGTGGGCTGAGAAGAGGTGTCACTGATCCCCAGAGGGATCAGTGTTTTCTGAAGTCCCAAGGCTGAGGGGCAGAGGCAGCAATGCAGCTGGAGCCCTGAGGCTGAGGGTGCGAGATGGGGAGCAGGCAGGGAGGTGCTGGCCTGGACAGCATAGGGCTCTGTGAGCCCAGAGGGGACTTGAGGTCCTGTTCCCCCTGTGATGAGACACCTTCAGAGGGCTTACGCAGGGCAATAACAGGACCAGGTTACGTAACCAGACGCTCTGGCTACCATGTGGAAAGGAGCGTAGACTCCAGAGTGCCTTGGGGAGAGGCCCCAGGCTGGGAGCTTGAGGAGTAAGGCAGGGCACAGGGCTGCAGAGAAGGTTCTAGATATATTTAGGGGCCAGAGGTGAACCGAGGGCTTCCTGGGGCTTCCGCTCACTGGTGTGCAGATAGGTTGAGTGTAACAGAGCAGGTCTACCCCTGCTGCCCAGCACCAGCGGGAGATTTGGTCAGAGGAGGAAGGGCCTTGGCAGTGCTACTTTTACCCTGGTGCCTACTGTGCAAGTGGGAAACTGAGGCCGGGAAGGGGCTTATACAGTCCCCTGGTGAGATCAGGCCTCATGATCACTGGGCCATTGCTGGCTCCCGGCCCCACCAGGCTGGATTGAACCTTTAATTGTGTGCCACCTCCTCAGCCAGGTCCCTGGAGAAGGGGTGCATTTGGATGTCCAGGAGGGATCCATATGTGTGTGTGTGTGTGCGTGTGAGTGTGATGTTCAGCTATGTGTCTGCGTCAAAAGATGGTGTCAGGCAGGGGTGTGGTCAGTAGCTTCTCAGCCCTCTTGCCCTGACTCCTTGACCCACTTGACCTCCCAGCCCCAAGGATGTGGCCTGAGCTGGCTGATCCAGGCTCCCCTCCTGCCCTTACTCCCATCTGTTCTTCCAGATGTGGACGAGTGCAGCATGAACAACGGCAGCTGTGACCAGGGCTGCGTCAACACCAAGGGCAGCTATGAGTGTGTCTGCCCCCCTGGGAGTCGGCTCCACTGGAACAGGAAGGACTGTGTGGGTGAGTGGTGGCAGGGCTGGGGGAGGGTGGGGAGGGGTCGGGAGGAAGGGGAGAGGGCTCTTCCTTTGGGCCCTGGGCTCGACAGTGGTCCTGTGCCAGGTCAGTGTGGCTGCTGGGAGTGAGGCTTACCAAGAGGTGAGAGCCAGGTACAGGGGAAGGGCCAAGCAAGAGATCAGTGACAGCCCGGGGCCGGGGGGTGCCTAGGTGCTGGAAACTTGGGCAGAGGGAGTGTTGGCCTACCTTGCCCAGCTCCCCCCATCCTGCTGGGAAGCTGAGGGCGCAGGCGTGGGTCACACAAGTGCGGCAGCATTGGAGCCTGAACCAGGGAGAGGGTGCCTGCCTGTTTGCCAGCATCTTCCCGCCCCGCTCCCAGCTCCACTGCAGCTCCTGTGCTCCGCCTGGCTGCCCCGGCGCCAGGGGGCCTCTAGGCTGAGCTCTAGATGACCCCAACTAATTTGTTCCACAAATACCTTCTCACTGCCTGCCAGCCAGGGCCTGTGTGCACTGTGGCCTGCCCCCCTGGGCTTTGCTCTCTGACCCTCTGCCCCGCCACACTCTGATGTCCCCAGACAGAGCAAGCCTCATGACTCCAAAGCAGGAGGTCCCTCTATGTTCAGATGTCTCCAGCAACCCCTTCTCCCCTTCACTCAAAACCAGTTTGTCAAGTCACCTCCCGCTCATTTGCTCCATGCCACCCTCACCCAGTGGCAGCCAACCCCCATGCTACTCTCACCCCACCTTGGAAGGAAACCTGTGCTGGTCTCCTGTTGGCCTGGAGGGCTCACCCAGCCCCTCACTGGCCCTTGCTGTGGTGTCTGCTCAGCAGGGCAACCTAACCACCCTCCACAGCAAACAGCCCAGCCACCTCTGACCCACTCTGGTCCCCTGGCCTTCTGCTCTCCTGTTGTCCCATTGCTCTTGGAACCACCAGCCAATAATTGTATTGTATAGGCTAGTGTGGGCTTGTGTCTGCCTGTCTGTCCTCACTAGAACAGAAGTTCTGCACAGTTGAATGGGTTTTTTTCTCTTGTGCTAGTCACTGCTGTATCCCAGGACCTGGAACAGAGCCTGGCATCCTCAGACACCAAGCAAACATTTGTTGAATGAGTGAATGAGCAAATTAAAGACTAAAGACCATCACTAGATATCAGAAATCAAAAGGCTGGATTTATCACTTACCCTGTTCAGACAGTGTCTCACTGAGTTGAGCAAACTGCTGGTTTTGTGTAGAGTTTGGGGAAAGAACTGTTTGGTGGGGGCAGGGAACATTGGCTGCAGGGCAGGGAGAGGTGATGTCAGTGTGAGGAGCATGGTTTGTGCTGTTACAAAGGGAAGAGGGGGTCGACAGACAGCCGCCTTGGCAGCTGCTGGCTAGTGTGAGTCTTCCCCAGGTGACTGACTGCAAAGCCAAGACTGTCATAGATTGATGGGCTTCAGAGGCTTGTCCTGCCACTCAGTCACAGACCTGCTGGGGCCTCGCTAGTCTTAGTATTTACGAGGAGTCATTGATGCATTGGAGTTGTGCTAGTTCTAGGATTTACTTGTCCTCATCGCTGTAGACTGACTATCTTCCCCCGAGGCTGTGAGGAGGTGTTCTTTGGTCTTATTTCTCTCCATCCCCCTTTTTGTCTTTTTGTCCTCCCTCCCCCAGTCAGAGCACTAGGAGGGACCACCAGGGTGTGTCCAGATCTCCATGAAGTGTCCCATACAAGTCTCTCTCTTTTTTTTTAAGAGWGAGWGAGAGAGAGAGAGAGAGAGAGAGAGAGAGAGAATTTTTTTAATATTTATTTTTTAGTTTTCGGCAGACACAACATCTTTGTTTGTATGTGGTGCTGAGGATCGAACCCGGGCCACACATGCCAGGCCAGCGCGCTACCGCTTGAGCCACATCCTCAGCCCCTATAGAAGTCTCTTTGTCAGGTCATGTCAGTCAGCATGACTTTATCCCACTGTTGTCCCATGTTGCATTAATGTCCTGGAGAGTCAGCACCAGGTGACAAGACAAACTAGTGTAAATGAAGGCATTCGGTGGAAGATACCAGAAGGCTTTCGAGAACCAGGATCTCAGGTTTCCCAGGCCTCACCAAGAAACAAGTGCCACAGTGCCCTGAGCCTGCCTTGGGTGTTCAGGTGGCCGTCACTTTGGCCTCTGTGGGGATTGTCCTGCCTCACGCTGCTGCAAGTCTAGGTTCAAAAGGAAGTAGATGCTATCCACAAGGCGGAAGGCCCCCAATCGGCCACAGGAAATCCAGGGCTGTGCTGCTCTCCACTACTGCCTGGCTGGATTATTTACTATGTCAAAGGGAGGGTCACTTTTTTTTTTCTTTTTTCAGTGATGGGATGGAACCCAGGGCTTCACACGTGCTGGGCAAGTGCTCCACCACTGAGCCACATCCCAGTCTCCATCAGGTTTGTGATAACCACTTTGGGTTGTCCAATATCTTTAGTAGTTCCTTTCTCTCATAGTTTTTTTTTTTTTAAATATTTGTTTTTTAGTTTTCGGTAGACACAACATCTTTGTTGGTATGTGGTGCTGAGGATCAAACCCGGGCCGCACACATGCCAGGCGAGCGCGCTACCACTTGAGCCACATCCCCAGCCCCTGAAGTGTTCTTTCCCTCATCACCTGTCACTCACATGACAATTGCTCATCTGTCAGACACAGCTCACCAGCATTGAAACCAACACCCACTGTCCACCACCTAAGCAGAGCCGCTCTCTTTTCTGAGTGTACGTAGCCCATAATTCCAGTAGCACATGCCCGGCGAGCGCGCTACCACTTGAGCCACATCCCCAGCCCTCTCTCATAGTTCTTCACAGCACTAGGAAAGAGTTTATACCTTCAGATTTCTTGTTAAAAAAGCATAGTTTATACAGGGTATCAGAGTAGAGGGGTCAGACATTGGAATAGTCTTATGGCCCCAAAAGACAGACAACCTTGGTTCTGGGGTGGCATCAGTGTGCCAAAGTACCCTGTAAGAGATGTGACTGAGCTGGGGGTGGCGCTGTGATAAACCCTCAGATGCTGGTCAGGGATTGCTGAATTCACCTCCCCCAGTCTAAGGGCTTTTCCTTCTTTTTAAGTATTGTCTACAGAGAGTTTTGTTTTAGTGAGCTTTTGCATTGCTGTGACCAAAAAACCCAACAATAACAACCTAGAGGAGGAAAGGTTTATTTGGGGTTGACAATCTCAGAGGTCCTAGGTCATAGCCAGCCTGGGCCAAGGTAAGGCAGCACATCTTGGGGGAAGGGCCCACAGAAGAAAGCTGCTTGCCTTGTGGTAGGGTCAGGAAGCAATGGGGGAGGGGCTGAAGTGCAGATGCACCCTTTCAGGGCACTCCCCCAGTGACTCACCTTCTCTAGCCTTGTCCCACCTGCATATAGTTCCCACCCAGGCCATTCAAACTAGGACTGACTGATTAGGTTGCGGCTCTCACAATCCAATCATTTCACCTGCATTAACATTCCTGCATTAACAGGAACTTTTGGGGGACAGTTCATACCCAAACCATATCATTCTACTCCTGGTACCCATAAAACTCATGTCCATCTCACAACGCAAAATGCATGTAGTCCATCTCCAGGGGTCCCATAGTCTTAATCATCTTAGCACTACCCAAAGTCTCATCTGAGACAAAAATCAAACTCTTTTTGCTGGGAGACCTTATAAAAATCAAAAGCAGGGCTGGGGTTGTGGCTCAGTGGTAGGGGGCAGGGAACACTGGCTGCAGGGCAGGGAGAGGTGATGTCAGTCTGAGGAGCATGGTTTGCTGTTACAAAGGGAAGAGGGGGTCGACAGCCGCCTTGGCAGCTGCTGACTAGTGTAAGTCACTGAGTTCAATTCTCAGCACTGCACATAAAATAAAATAAAGGTTCATCAACAACTAAA